CGGCGCCCCGAACCGCCCCCTCCCCCAGGGCGCTCGGCTCCGGCCCCCATCTCCACCCGCCACCCGGGGAGCCCCCGCCGAGTCCCGCGCCCTCGCGGCCACATGGCTTCTGTCAGCAACGCTCCCTTGTGGAGACCACGCACCAGGCCTCAGTCCTGGGATCACTAAACACCAAGAAAAAAATGGGCAGGGGGTGTCAGAAACCCGTCTCGCAAACCATTGCCTAGTGAGTGGACCAGGGGTGGGGGGCTGCTTTCAGATATGTCCCCTCCCCATCCTGCAATACGGAGTCGGGAAAGCTAAGGGCGCCACAGCAGAGTAAGGCCACCGCGGGCCCGACGAAACAGAAGGGGTAGCACATGCTGGGGCGGGGTGTCCAGCCCGGACCAACCAGGTGAGCCTCGCTTCTCTCTCGGGACCTCGTTTTCCCGCAGGAAAACCTGCGTCTCTGGCCACCAGGGGGAGCCGACGAGCGAGTGAGGATGACCCCGCTCGCATCCAAACCCCACTTCGAGGATTCGCAGCCGGGCGTCAGATCCATGCAGGACGCGACAGCGCCAACCTCGTTTTTATTGCTGCGCGAATGACTCTAGGTAGTCGCCGTGGCTGCATGCGCATGCGAGACGCGGGAAGGCGTCGCGAACAGTCCCCGGCGCCCGGCGAGGGGTTCAGAGGGAATCTCCGGACCCGGCACTGTGGCCTCACCAACTCGAGGACGGGTCGCTGCGCCTCTGGCCTCGCGGCCTCTCCAGTCAGAGCGCCCCATGGGTACACCGGGGTCTCACCCCTTACGGGACACGTGGCCGGCTTCCTCCGGGCCACCATTCGAGGACCCCCGAGTTTCGGGGCCTGGAGTGTTGGGGAGGGGCGGTGGCGCACCCGCTTCCTCCGAATTCCTTCAGTGCAAAGCCAGGCGATGCGAAAGCCCGGAGTAAAGCTCCCGTCTGCTTCGTGAGAGTCGGGGACAAACGAAGACTGGGGCCCCGCCGGCTTCCGGTCCCCCGTATCCTCGGCTCCTTTTGGCTGGACAGGCGTGGCTGTCGGTCTGTCTTGAGTGCAGCGTCCCTGCGTCCCTGCCTTCGCCTTCCGGCTCCAACTCTTGGCGAGGTTGGGAGCCGAGCGCTCCCCCTGGAGCGCTGCTCACACTCGTGCGCACTCGGGCGCACAGACACTCGCTCGCCCACACTCCCGAGTCGGCGCCCGGGGTCCCTCAGCGCGGCTGCGCTGAGCAGCTCGTTGGCTGCTGCGGTTTAAACACCTGTCCAGCTGCCGGCCTTGACTTTCCCTCAGTCTCTTGACCTGAACAGCAATGCATACTCGTTAGGTGCGCAGGGCTGCTGGCTTGCCTTCACCCCTCCTACCTGCGCACACGTATACACCGCATTAGAGATCCCCTTTCTCGCACTTTTGTGAAGGGGCGAGATATGAAACCGAGAAAATACTTCTTTCCTCGAGGATTCCCTATCTGGGCTTCAAATGGGTATTCTTCTCCCATGGTAGTAAAAGGAAAAAAAAACTTTGCTTAGCGTGGGGGGGGGGGGCGGTACGTAGACGTGAATCTAATTCGGTTCCTCTCCGCCAGCTGAAACCGAGCAATTATGCCAAGAAGGAATCCGTTCCTTTTGGGTCCTTCAAAAAGGGCCACTTTGGAGACGGGTAATAGACCGGCGCTGCCGGAATCCGCCCTGCTTCCCCCACCCCCTTCCCCATCATTGCTCCTCCCGGACCCTGCGGTGTAGACGTGACTTTAAAGAGTCCCCGAGGGAGCAGGTTTGAAAGCCCAGCTCCCGGTTCCTGGGGCAGCGTTTGACAGGTCAGCCCCTCGCTGTCCTCCTTTCCCCCTCCCCCCGCTCTGGTCCTCCTCTTCCACCCACCCCCGACCCTCGCGTGGGACTCAGACACCGATCCTGGGGCGAAGACGCGGCTGACAGTTAAATTGCAATGTAGGTCGAGGGGGGAAAAGGGACCGTGTCTCTTTAACGGGCCCTGCAGACAAAGCGTCTCCCCTCGGAGCGAGCGGAGTCGGGCGCAGCCGCGCGCAGACCTGTCAGCGCGTCTCCCGCGCTTGGGAGAGAGTTTGCAAAGTCATAATTATATCTCTTAACCTGTCTTGCTCTCTGCAGAAGAAGGTCCCATTATATTGAAATGAGATTATTAGCCATCAAATACTTTCTTTCTCGGGAGTTTTTTTTTTTTTTTCCTTTTTTTTTAAATTCAAATACCTTAACGACTTGGCAATTGCATTTTGATCAGATTTAGGTGGCGCCCCAGCTCGGCGCGGGAGCCGGGGCGGGAAGGCAGATGGCTGGGAGGGAAGAGGGGGTGCCAAGAGAGTTTGCAAAGAGATGCAACCCCTCTTTTATCCTGCTTTTGGGGCTCCTGTACCGGCTGCGGACCTCTAGGCCTGGGGAGGAGGTGTGACATAAGGGAAGTTGGGCGAGGTGGGGGGCCGTTTCGACACCTTCCTGACTGTCGGCTGAAACCACTTCTCCGAAAATGGAAGGTGAATTTCAGGCGGGGCGGATGTGGACGTTGGGGCGGGGACCAGGATGCGGAAGATCGAGGGCTGTAGGACTAGGGGTGGGTCTGGGGCTCCAGGTAAGTAAGCGCTGGGGCCGCAGCTGGCAGTCGCGCGGGCTTAGCAATTTCCGCTCCAGGTTGGCTCAAGTCCCCCGCCAGGTTCCCGGTGGATGGAATTTCAGTACGTACGTAATAAATGGGGTCTTGCTCTACGCCCAAGGTCTGTCTGGTTTTACCGAAGGTTGTGAGCCCCTTGAGGGTGAAGCCCATGTCGTTTCCAGACCCTGGAACCCCTGTCCCTCCTGCCAGCAGAGCCCCCCCCCATCCTTTCCCCGGACTGGGCCGGTGGGGGGCTGTGAGGTGGAAGATTTTCCAGACTCTAGTTGTAAAGCCCCTCACTTTGACTTCCCCAGGTGGGAGGAGCAGCCCAGCTTGTGTTTTTCTTGGCTTCAGCCCAGACTCAAGGAAAATAGAGGGAGCAAGACAGCTCACCAGTCCCACCTCCCCACATGCACTCCCACCCTCAGGCTTCACATACAGTCCTGGTGAGTCCATTCATGCATCTAGTTCCCCCCCATCACCTTCCAGAGGAGCATCTCTCTTCAGGCACTCCAAAAGCCAAATGGGGACCCAGAGTCCAGAAACGTGGCTTCTAGGCAGGGCTGGAACCGTCCCACCTTGCTCCAGTCAGCCCTTGCCTCTGAGCCTCAGTTTCCCCCTGTGCATAATGATAGCCTTGGACTGGAGATCTGTATGATCCCTTTCATCTCTGACGTTATTTTCCTATATAAAAGGTTCTTAGTACAGGTGTGGTCATCTGGAAGATTCCAGGGAGGCCATACCACCCCTCTCCTCCCATCTCTTCAGAAAAACAGTCCAGAGGGGGAAAAATCAATTCTGGCTTTAAAAGCTTTCAAATACAAAAATTTCGAGAAACTCTCAGTGTCTGCTGAGGCTGCAGCATGCACACCTATGACCCAGCAGTTCCATGGGGAGGCATCGCCCCAACAGAAATTCAAACCACGTGCACCAAAGGACATGTGCAAAAATGTTCACAACAGGGGTCTTCACAAGATCCCCAAACTGGAAACTAGCAACTGTCCATTAACAGTAGAATGGATAAACAAACTGTGGTGTTGTCACACAGTGGCATACTATACAGAAAAGAGAAAGAATGAACTGTTGCTACACGCAACAACATGGATGATTCTCACTATGTTGGGCAAAAGAAACCACACAAAGGAGTACATGCTCCACAGTTCCACTTATTAAAAGTACAAAAACAGGCAAAATGAATCCATGCTAGCAGAAGGCAAGATGGTGGTTACTCAGAGAGGATGACTGAAAGGGAGTATGAGGGAGGCTTCTGGGCTGAGGGTGATCTTTTGATTCTTGATCTCGTTACACAAGAGTGTTCAGTTTGTGAAAATTCATTGAGAGGTGCACCTGGGTTAAATGCATTTTGTGGATATATGTTATATTTAAGCCTCAAATTGGACATTTCTTCTCCCCAATCCTCAATCTCATCCGCACACTCACACATTCTAATGCCCCAAACTCCATATTGGCAGGAAATCAATCGCTAAAGTCCCTCTGGCCCTCCTGCCGTGTGCTTGGCACCGTGGAGCATCCACAAATGTATTTTAGTCCCTACCCTCTAAGGGTTTGCAATCGAGTTTGGGAGGCAGGTTACATATAGGAAATAATCAAGGAATCATCCAATGGGATAGAGTGAGTGGTTTAGGATTGTGTGAACCAGACAGCCTGGATTTGAATCCCAGATCCACCCCTAACCAGCTGTGTGACCTTGGACAAGGGACTTCACCTCTCTGGGCCCCAGTAGCTGAAATATGGAGAGGACCATACATGTATTTACCAACAGGGCTGTTGTGAGGGTTACATCAGATGGTCTGTGCCACAGCATAAGATAAGTGCTCTGTAAATGTTAGACACATCTGCTGTGCTTCTCATCTGCTGTGGTAGCAGCTGGGGCTGCTCAGAGTTCAGAGAACAGGGAGATGAGTGTGGGGTAGGGAGGCAGGAAAAGCCCACTGAGGGAGAGACAATTTGAGCTGGGAGAGGCTGATGAAAAGGGACTCTAGAAAGATCATCTGGAGCAGTGGTTCTCAACCAGGGGCGATTTTGCCCTCCAGGGGACATTTGGCAATGTCT